ATCTATGCCCATCCATTCCCACCAAAACTGCTGATGAATGAAAAAATGGGATTAATTCTCGATATATTTATGAAACAAGGCAATTAAGTCATTCAGAACAAGCCACAAGGGAAACAGTCACATCTCACTGTCTGGGTCCAAATAGTCAACTAGGAAATCCAATCGTTCCTGCAGTTGAGTGCAGTTAGTCCCGTTAACGTGAACAGCGGCTCATGCTCTAACTGGACCCTTGACCAGAGCCAACAAATCGTCCAGAGTAGCCAGCAAATCCAGGACGCTGTTCCCAGCAGAGGGGGGTAACTTGAGCCCCGCAGGTATAACCCTCTGCGCCACCTACCTTGGCCTGCGGGCTGAGACCGATGTCAGTGAAGGCGTGCTGCCACTGGGGCAGGCCAAGATGGGTCAGCATCATGCGGAAGTACTGACTGAAGGTACGGGCCAAGAAATGCCACCGCAGGGCCCTGTCTAGAAGCCAGATCTCAGGATGCTGGGCGGGGGTGCCTACAAAAATAAACACAAATGGAAGAAAAAAGCCCTAGTGTACAAAGTACACAGCAACTTGGGCTGCAGCTACCTCCACAGATGTGCATGCATTGCTGCTCCCTGTCGCAGCCAGTTCAACTTGGGCTTAGAAAATGGAGTCACACTTACTGGCTGACACAAGTGCCCCACCCCACCCCAAGACATCACCACAGTCCTCATGTTTTATTATTTTTTTTCTTCTAGGAATAGAGAGCCCTAATATTTGTCAAACCAATTTCTTGGGGGAGGGAGGTGAGTATTCCTTTATGGATGAAACAATTTAGACCATCGTTTTGGGAAAACCATTCCACCCTCCTGGACTCAGAACCCAGATACGCCACTGACCAGCTGATTAAGTGCGACCTAAAGCTCTAGAAGACTTCTTCAAGTCAACTCCCACATTCCATTCTGAAGTTTGTTGGCAGAACCAATACACACAGAGAGCTGGAACCGACAATACCTGTGTCTTACCTAGCTTCCGGGATGTGACAGAAAATGCAACATAAGTGACGTCTATTAGTTCAGGGTGTGCCTTACCTGGCCTGGTGTTCCTGTAGACCAGGCAAACCTTGGCAGTGCCTTGGCAGGGATCCAGCTCAAAGATACGGCTCCTGGTGTCAAAATGGGGCTTGGGAAGAATGTCAGTTTCTGCATCTGATTGAGGGTGAAAAAATGGGGAAAAAAAGTGAAATAAATCGACTGATGTCCTTTTTGTGTGGATAACTGTTATACATAGTCATTTTTTTGTAAAGCAATATCCTACAGGACAACTTGCATCTGTACCCTCATCTGTTCCTGAAGGACATTTAATTACAGACTATATTTTCCAAACGTCATATTTAGGATACTTTGAAGGTGGCGATAGACTGGCCTTTGATGTTTATGTCCGGCTTTGTAGCTCCATTTTTTACTCCCCCCATGTTTAAATTTAGAGCAGTAAAACGTCCTGTTTTCATAGAGATGCATAGCATTGTTACAAGCCATAGGCCAAATGCAAAATGTTTTTTTATTTGCTTCCAACATTATGGCCTGAATGTGGTTCCACTGTGAGAGGTAAATCCTGACGTGGTGACGAGGCAAAAATGTGGAAAAGGCAGTACATGTACATGTAGGTCTCTTCCATGCGGCTCAAGCTCAAGTGTCTGACTGATGGTTTGCAGTAAACATACCACACTGCTCCTCATCACTTGCGTAGTCCATGTCAGCTAGCGACGGTACGTTGGCATTGCTGGCCGCTTTATTTCCTGCCAGCTTGGTTAGACTACTGATCTTGTTAATTTCCATCCAACCCACTGGCTGCAACTGATCTGAAAGGAAAGTTACTTCAATCACAAACAACTCCAACGGTACCACCTAAAAATTAACCAAGTATTTGTGAGATAACATCCTGGCAAATATGGAAGACCTCCCGGCAGAAAGAGAAAATATCAGGAGAAAAGACCTAATATCTTTATAGCACAGGGCTAGACAAACCGGAGTGAACATTTCTCAGCTAACAAAATTATTCCCTCCCCCTTCATGACAATCTCGAGGTCTGAACAATGTCCCTTTCAGGATCAGTGGTCATAGAAATTTAACAACTGAGCAACTGCTCCTGTCCAAGAAAATTTCATGTGATTCACTTCTATGTGCTGATAAGAAAATTGTCCTATAAAAAAAGTCCTTTACCTGAAAGATGCAATATTTTAGGATTAGTATCAGATGACCTGATGCAGTGTAATGCCGAAAAATAATTTTTTCCTAGATTTGTGACATCAAACACACCTCATCAAAGTTTGCCAAGAGTCCCTCCCTTTAAAAAAAAGCCAGTCTTCTTGAACACAATTTCACTCTCCGAAAGACACCAAACTTCCCATGCACAATGCTGAGAATACCAAATAAATATTACACAGTATGTTTGTAATAAACAACCATACACTGCTGAGTTGAATGCTCTATGGAGCAGATACACGAGAGCTGGAGAGTACTATTATACTGAACTGTTCATGCCAAGCCACTACGTGTGTTATGTGACCCTGGTGCAAGTGAAAAACAGCAGGTTAACTGCAAAAGGGCCTCTCAATCTCGTGCAAGGACCTAGGCCCTACATGTAGGCCTGGATCTTTACTGGTTGCTTATAACAGAGGCACAAGCTGACGACAGACACAGCTGTAGCTCTGTGAGACCATTTCTGATCTTGGGTCATGACAAGTTATCACAAGAGTTGACCGAGTCCAATAGTCACCATCAAATCTAACGTTCCATTTCAGCAGAAGCCCATCTGAGGTCAGGTAGAACCGCTTCAGGTCGTCCGGCAGCATGCATGAGTTGCGCTGCTCCCATGAGACCACTTGGTGGCGCTCTGCCGGCCGCAGGTCAACGAGTGTTATATCACAAATCCCAGGCCTCTTTTCTGAAAGCAAAACAATGGCAGTGAAATATTCATCACAATCTTGATTGTTTTCCTTTCCTAAAATGATATCTGACGTATGGTATAACTTTAAATCTAACAAGAGTCAGGAAATGCAACCCAGTGAACTAACTTGGTATCAATTTTAGCCCCATAAAAGAGGTCTTGATCCCCACATCCCACGGGTTGATTTCTGGTTTCATAGATTTCACACGTTTCAAGATCCCATCCCCCTACCTTGGAAGATGGTCGAACTGACACGTGGAGTTTGCTTGGCCATTTGCCCGCTGCATGAGCATTATGGTGTACACAAATTGTATGGTACAGTGCAATCGTACAAGAGATTGGTGAATAAAAACTCAGATTTGCTTATGTGCCAACACTGCATGCTTTTTGTGAATGGTCTGTTAGGCCGGCGCACCATGACATCATCTCCAGGACGTTAACATACAGTTTAAATCACTATTTGAACAAGATGGCAACTTCGAGCACTGCACGAGGACAAGAGCATTTCCAATTTGAATGTGAGTAAACCTTGCCATCATTAGTGAGGCTGGGAAGAGTTTCATATAAGAATGCCAGCAAGTCTTCCCTCCAGTGACTTAATGGCAATCAGAAAGCAAAAACATGTCTAGAAAAGTTCAATTTAAGGCCTGTAAGGGGGAAAATACATGTACCAAGGTGGTTTACTGAGAAAATACCCCTGCTTAGAATTTTTCAGACCAGTCTCATCGGGTTTGTGCACAGGGTATCAAGCGGTGTTCATATGGAACTCTTTCCGGGAAGCTAATACATTTGCAAATATTTTTTTTCTGTTGTAGACTATTTTTGAAGTGATTAGAGAACAGACTGCAACAATTTTTTTTGGGGGGGGGGGGCTAGGCCTATACTATAGACTATAGCTTGCCTGATCGAGCAGACTATGCCATAAATTTGCTTTTGGGTTTTGATTCATGTACGAGCTATTTTGAGTAAAATGAATTAATGGCATGGAAAGCCTACGATGAGTGGTGCAGTACTACTACTCAGTACTACTACTAGTACTACTCACTGACTGTGTAATTTGGAAAAAAATAGCCACAGTCCAAACGCAACATTCAACACCTACCAAGAGATTTTACGACACCAAGAGTTAACTGATCGAAGAGATCTTTGGAGTACGGAATTTCGTCCATACTGGTTCGGTTGTAAGCTCAAAAATGACCTGAAAAGTTAGCCAAATGTTTTTTGCTTGCAGTTGCTAAGTACGCTGCCATCTTGAAAACCTGCCCTCTATACGATACCTCGAACCAGTGTTTGACAATGAGGGCGCTGCATAAATGGCTGTTTTAGTTATCTGCATGTGCACAAATGGAAGATTGCAGTGCCAATTTTGTGGAGATCAAACTGCTGTTTTTCGCTAAAAGCAGAGAACTTACAGGAGTGAAAGAAGGAATTTTAAATGTGAAGAAAAGTACAACTCCAGATGATTTGCTGCTACTTATTGTGAAGGAGTATCCACAGTAAGAAACTGGCTGATTGATTTACAAGTTACATCGTCGTCCAAAATCATCCTCAAACCATAGCCCTCACTCACTGACTCGGGGCTAGGCTTTGAATGGGATCTCCTTTGACATTTGTCTTTATAGGCCGGGGCAAACGTCGGGGACATTCGCAAAATGGTGGGTAGCAACCACACCTCGCCGGTGGAAACAACTGTGACGTGCACGCGCCTACATGTACATGTACATACTGTCATCAAAGGAAAGATTTGAGTACCCCGATCCTCTGACTGGCTGGTCCTAGCACATCACCATCTGACCATGGTCCCAGTTGTTTTCACCTGCACGGTGTGGTTGCTACTTCAGTACTTGCCATTTTGAAAAAGTCACGGATGTCTGCCCCGACCTCAACCCCGCTCCCATGGGTATGATTTTGCCGCACCATGTTGGTTCCCACAATGTCTTAAACAATCTAACTTCTGGTATTGTATAATTAAATATCCCACTAGGCCTATCTGGGATATTTAACCCCTTGGTGCTGGGACTCGGCTAGACACGCCGTAAAAATTGAGATCCTCAGCCCGCTTTTCAGCTATTATTCTTGGCCCACGCTCGAGCGAACAAGGTGAAAGAAGTCAGACCCTGGCTCTTGTATATATGGTAATTGGCCTTTTGTGTGTAGCCCAGAAATGGAAAGACCGAATTTGCATCAT